GTTAAAGACCCGTGCTAAAATGTGATTGGCTGACAAAATAAACAAGCGATGACTCGTTAAGTTTGTTACAGTACAATTCTGTTACAATTCTCAGGCTGTTTACAAACCTCTTCCCTTCATTCCTTTAGGGTAATTATTACTCGACTGACTGGAGTCCTGTTTCACAAACGACAAATAATGCAGGTATATACTTCTACAATGACTATACCACAGAAAAAAGTCATTCTCTCATGGAGAAAATGTAGCTTATCTTAAGAAATTTTTTCTTATACCAAGGAAAATTTTCTTAAAGCTTATACAAAGTTTTTTCAAACTCTAGGATATAAAATCTCGTTTAGAAAGTAATTTCTTAAAATAAGAAATTATTCAGCCAACAGATTTACAGATTTTGACACAAGAAATTTTGTTCTTATAATTGGAAATATTTTTCTTCAACGGAGTAAATTATTTCTTGATATAAGAAAGATTATCTTAATTTCTGACATTCTCAATATGAGAAAATTAATATTCAAAATCCCAAAAGGTTTTTAAAATAGAAAAACTCCTCTTACCTATATTTGTTTTAAGAAAAAAAATTCTTGGAATAAGGAATTAAAAAAAGGGATAAATTGGGTATAGTAAGGAATCACCATACAACAGATTTTTTATTCTTTACTATGAACAAATAATGACCGCCACCTTAACAAATTACATTTGGCTAAGTCCTATGTACAAACCATTTCTACAATATAGAAGCTCTTTGGAAACGGATTTCATCACAAGAAAATTCTATCGCTTTTTGCCATTCAATATAGGTTGTCCTGGTGATTGCATTAAAATCACCATCTTTAATATCCATGTATAATGCTATTTGATATACTAAGAGTAAGACTTGCAATGCAAAAGCCAGATTTTGATTTTTGTATCTTGTGCCTTGTATGTCCCGTATACATAAGGGAGAAATTGCGTTGTTATGAAATAATAACAACATACATGTATTGTTCATTTTACATGACAAGTTTGGTAAGAAAATAATTTGTGTCATACTTGACAGAAAAGTAGCAATGACGACATTTGTGAAATAAAAATCCACCATGCTACGAAAACAGTGCACAACGAAAAATTCCAAACAGTATTTAAGGCCCCTTTACAGTCCATTTTTAATTTAGCACAAAACAAGACGATTTTTATGTTTTTATATTACCAAGGAAGACAGATGAGAATTAAGATAGAGTAAGTAAAAGATCTATTATTTATCTTCTATTAGTATTATTGACAAACGACAAATCTTTCCGGTATATCCTCAACATTGGCTACAAAGCGTAAATTAACTTTTTATGCAGAAGATTATCTTATTTTTAAATAAATAATAATAAGAATAATAATAATATTATAAAAAAAATTTTCTTATACAAAGAAATTTTTTCTAACTCTCAGATATAAAATCTCGTATATAGGGCCCACATATTTTGATGCAATAAATTTTAACCTAAATTAACGACAAATCATCCAGATATCTGCCTCTATACATATATTATATTGGCAAAAATATTTTACCAAAGGTGTTTAAACAGCTGCATGTTCTGTCGATAAAAAGTCGCCAACTAGTGCTTGTCTTCACGGGCCTGCAGTATAAAAGGAATAGGTAGGAAATGCAAACAATCGAATACAAATAAATTTAGAGAGTTCCTCTTCCGCTTCAAAATCAGGCTTGAACCTCGCGCAATCTTTATGAATAATTATTTTCATTTTGAATATAGCAACATTGATTCAGTTTTATATATAGATCCAGAAACAAAATATTACGCTGGCAGCAATAACTACAGCAAAACTGAAGGAATTTTAACGAATGGAGATAAGTAGAACAAATAACTTATTTGATTCAATCTTTAGTGTATGATTGTTCAGATAACAATAATTTAATCTTGCACTAAAACTTTCAACCTCCCTCGGTGCGTAAATCCCGGACACACCTGTTACACATATCATTTTAGTCACTCAGTTCAGTAGATTAAATAATAATATTTTATAAAATTACAACTCTTTTATACATTTCTACTATCTGAGCCCGCATTACCCATTATGATTAATACTTCTTGTTACATCCCTTCTTCTTTAAAATAAAGATGGAATATTATACAATTTTTTTCCCGTTTTTTCCCAGTTGGTAATTGTTTTTTTTTAATATTTCCTTTGCAGTTGTAGTCTTGAAATTTTTTACATCAAATATAACTTCTCGATAGCTTTAATTTGACACACAGCCCAACGTCTGGCATCAAGTATTTCGTCTCAAAACTCAGAAAAACTATTTTGGCTGCAAGCTGAATAGGGATATTTGTCAGGAGTTATCGTTCCAGTTGTATAGAGTTCACTGGGCAGAACTGATTATATGAATAAACACCACCCAATTATCGTTCTAGTTATGCCCCTGATAGAACTACAAGAACTATGTACATTACAGGGAACGTTCGTTTTTTAGCTGGGAAGAAAGATACTTGTAGCCTAAAGCGTGAATAAATTCCCCGAGTGGAGACCCAGCTGCTGTGAATATTTTCTATGAGAATGAAATATCTGTATAAGACATACGAATGGGAGAGCTTTGTTTTGTTAACTAATAAAACGCGGTGTCTTTAATAAACGAACACACAACTATATTGATCTACAAGCAAACTAATATCAAGTGTTGAAATAGAATATAAAGACTTAGAAAGTGTCTGGTGCACACAAGTACATATCTGCTTGATATTTAATCATAGATGCTGTTGCCAGCATTTATTGTAATTTGTATAGATTTGTAATCATTTGTAAATCGTTAACCATTTTATTACATATTTCACTCAGTTGTTGAACTTTCTAATTTTCTATATCTGTGGTTGTTAACGTTCTTATATTACGGGCAGTGAATGAGTGTAAAAGTTGTCTGGCGTGATATCACCTTGGCGAAATATTATCTTGGAGGTAATTACACCAAGAACCAGGGTTGCCAGATTGGTTGAACAAATTAGCTGAATCATTATTTCAGTCTCTATGACTTGATTTCTTGCATTTTGGGCTTGCTGAGGAGTTCTTTCCGCTGGAAGGAGTTTGTCAGAATATAATTTCTTTCTCCTGAACAATGCGTTTATTTCTTATTGAATGTCATCACTTAATTATTATTAACCGCTGAATTTATCTCCATGGATGGATTACCTTACCATTACCTTGTAACACATGCAAGGTAAATTTGTTTTCTGAAAGACAGAACGTGTAGTTTCATCTGTCGCTTCGATAAGCCTCGTTTTCATATGTCAACGACAGTCGGCGATGATAGGTGGCTGCATGGTGACGAAATTTGTTTTTAAAATAAGAAAGTCCTTTATTCTCCTGCATTCACCAACAATAACCATCGACCTGGCTTATAACCCTGGCCTTCTTATTAACCACCGACAGTCCGCGATGTATTGTTGATAACCATTGACCAAGAAAATTTTTTGAAAATAACACAGCACTTTATCCTCCAGTGATTTCTGGCAATATCCTTCGCCAATTAATTGTTGATGACATATGAAAACCAGGCTTCAAGCCTAGTTCACTGGTTCTCGTATGTCACCGATAGTCCGCCATATATCTCTATTGGTGGCCATGACCATGCAGTAAGTGAAGCCTCGTTTACACGACAAGCATTTTTGGCCAGGAACACTTAATTCTTTGCACGCTGGCAGAAAATGGCACGGCACTTTTAAATTTTGTCCTGTAAACAGACATAATATAAGTCCACAGACTAGTAATTTTATCCGTGCGGAGACCGTTTAAAAGATGTTCTCGACCTGTCAAAGCATTGGACACCGTGCCAAAAATATTGAGTTGCATCAACAATTTGAATCGGATTTGAGCGAGGGTCGTGTGCTGTACGAGTCGGGGTGGGGGGACTGGAGATCGAGGGGATTTTCAAGATGGCGTGATTGTGGAAAGCTTTGTAAATAATTGCACATGTTATAGGGATGGAATAAAACAGTTGTGTTTCAGTACATTATATTGGCGACGAGGACTGAAATTGGAGAAATAATACACTCTGGAAACATTATAATTGGTAAAGGACATAGTACACGTTATATTTAGTGTTTTATCACGTAATTCACGTTTGCAATTCAGAAATTGAAATCGGAAAATTTGTAAAATTTTGGGATTTTATATTCAACATGGCGACTGCACTAGATTTATCAGGTTTGGGAAATTTTGATCCGCATTCGGATCCAACTACATTATCTTTACGATGGAAAGAATGGTAACGGCGGTATGAACGGTTTTTGGTTGCTATGGATATAAAAGATGACACTCGAAAACGGGCTCTATTGTTATATGCGGCGGGAAACGAAGTAGAAAACATTTTTGCAACGTTGAGTGACGTAGGGGAAGAGAAAGATTACAAGAAAGCAGTTGAAAAGCTTAATGGGTATTTTTTACCTAAGAAAAATGTGTTACTCGAAACCCATAAATTTCGCCAGTTAAAACAAATAACTGAGGAAACAATCGATCAATATTGTACCAGGCTTTGACAACAAGCCATCATCTGTGAATTCTCTGACAGTGAAAATGAGATAAAAATCCAGCTGGTTGAAGGATGTTTGTCATTGCGAGTGAGAAGGAAAGCCATTCAGTATGATTTATCATTAACAGACATATTAGCATATGCAAGATCACTTGAAATAACAGACAAAGCTGTCAAAACATTGAAAGAAGATTGTGGGCATTTAGTTACCCCTTCAAATGTGGTTAATGCTATACGTAACAAACAAGAAAAGCCGGGTCAGTATCATGAAGGAACAAAGAGACAACCACAGCAATCAGGAAACCAGTATCCTACAAGCAATCGATACCCCTATAAGAATGCTGGCCGAGAAAATTCATACGAGCAACAACAGCATGGTAAGAAACTATGCCGTTATAATTGTGGGGAAAGTTATTATGCAGGTCATCTTAGTGAGTGTAGAGCCAAGAGAAAATCTTGTTTTACATGCGGAAAACAAAATCATTTTGCATCTATGTGCCGTGGCCGTCAAAGGAACAATATTCCGGAATCCAAAGTCAAAGGGGAGAATATTCAAGCCAATAACTGTACTGAAAATCAATCAAATTCCTCCGAGGAAGATTCGTATGTTTTTGTAGTCACCCCACCAGTAGAAAAGGAGGTTTCCCCAAATCCACGAGCAGTTAAAACCATTCCAGTTATTATTGAAAGGGCTCATATTAGAATGATTGTTGACACCGGGGCAACAACAAACATTTTGGTATCAAAAGCATTTAATGAAATCAAAAAGAAAAATCCCAGTTTACATCTACATCCATCAACACACAAAATTTATGCTTACATGCAATCTCAGCCTTTACCAGTCCTTGGAAAATTTGAAGCACTTATTGAGTCGAAACACCGAATGGCTGTTACGACATTCCATGTTGTAAATGGGGACGGTGGGTCACTACTAAGTTATTCCACAGCCACTGAGCTTGATATTGTGAAAATGAACGTGCATGCTGTTACTCAGTCTAGTTCTACATCCTACACGGATCCTCGAGATGATCATAACCAGTTTGGCAATGAGAACCCAGAAAACCCAAAGAACCATCAGCCAGACTCACCAACTATGTAAAGGTTCAAAAAGGAATACCCCGCAGTTTTTAATGGCATTGGAAAATTAAAGGATCATGAAGTACACCTACATCTTAAAGAGAATTCTAAACCTATTGTGCAAAAACCCAGAAAGATATCTTTTCATCTCCGTAAACAGACAGAAAATAAAGTAAAAGAACTAGAGGAAAATGATATTATTGAATTTGTTCCATCAGGGACACCTACACTTTTCGTATCAAATCTGGTTGTTGCACCTAAGCCTAATAATCCAGCCGAAGTCAGAGTATGTATCGACATGCGACATATATGAACCCAATGATAGAGCGAGAACGACATGTCATTCCTAATATTGAGGAACTCTTTGAAGACATGGCCGGAGCTACAGTGTTTTCAAAAGTATATTTGACAGCAGGATTTCACCAGTTACTTCTTGACGAAGAGTCACGATCCCTTACCACATTCTACACCCACAAAGGTCTTATGCGGTATAAACGTTTATGTTTCGGAGTAAATTCAGCACCAGAGCAATTTCAATATGCTATTCAACAAACACTCCAAGGACTGGAGGGAGTAAGGAACATTGCTGATGATATCATCGTGCGGGGGAAGTCCCAGAAAGAACATGATGCACACCTTGAAGCTCTCATGAAACGACTCTCAGAAAGCAACATTACTCTTAATGCTTCCAAGTGCAAGTTTAATGTAGACAGCATTTGGTTCTATGGTTATACATTATCAAAGGATGGCATTTCTGCAGACAAAGCCAAAATTGCTGCACTAGTTAACATGAAAGAACCGGAAGATGTCTCGCAGTTGCGCAGTTTCTTGGGATTGGCAACATATTGTGAACGGTTTATTAACAACCTGGCAACGATCAAAGCACTATTACGTAAGCTAACAAACAAAGGCGTTGGTTGGAAATGGACATGTAGGCACCAGCAAGCATTCAACAAAGTCAAAGACGAAATTGCGAAAGATTGTACCACTGCTTTTTACGACCCATCTAAAAGAACTCGGGTAACAGTTGATGCAATTCCAGTCGGATTAGGGGCCATTTTATCACAGTTTGATAGGGACGACAACGAGGGGATTGTTGCGTATGCAAGCCGTAGTCTCAGCAAAGTTGAACAGCGTTATTCACAAACTGAAAAAGAAGCGCTCGGAGTTGTTTTTGGTTGAGAAAAATTTCACATGTATCTTATTGGAATTGAGTTTGAGCTGCATGGATACGGATCACAAGCCGTTGGAAGTCATATACCATCCCAAAGCAAAACCATCTGCGCGGATTGAACGCTGGGCCCTCCGGCTACAACAATACCAGTTTAAACTACGACACCGACCCCGTAAAACCAATCCAGCTGATGTCCTATCCCGTCAACCTTGAACCTTTGTCAACACTCGAAAAGAACAGCATCGCAGAAGATTATGTAAATTTTTTAACTGACCATCTAGTGCCTAAATCTATGAGCAGGCAGGAAATTGAGGAAGCGTGTCAGAAGGATGCCGAAATGCAAGCTTTTATAACGGCTATTAGGAAAAACTGCTGGCCACGAAAACCAGCTGGTAACACTATCAAGAATAAGAACGATAAGAACATCGATTTAACACCCTATCACACTATTCATAACGAATTAACAGTTTCGGATAATGGTATCGTGCTACGAGGAAACCGACTTGTTATGCCCAAGAAATTAAGAAACCACTCATTAAATATTGCACATGCGCAACACCAGGGCATCGTGAAAACTAAAGCCTTTCTTCGAACAAAAGTATGGTGGCCAGGAATAGACCGCCAGGTCGAAACATTTATTGCTCGCTGTACGCACTGTCAAGCTGCAAACGATTCCAAAACATTTCAACCGTTAAAAATGACTACAATGCCATCCAAACCATGGCAAGTTTCTCATTGGGATTTCTGCGGACCATTCCCCAGTGGGGACTATCTTTTAGTATTAATGGATGAACATTTCCGATTTCCTGAGGTTGAAATCATTCGATCGACTTCAACCGCGGTCACTATTGGAAAACTCGAGAAAATATTTTCGGCTCATGGATTTCCAATCGAATTTGTCAGCGATAATGGTCCACCATTTAACGGACACGAATTCTGCAATTATTTATAACAAAATGGAATCAAACATCGAAAGATTACGCCATATTGGCCCCAGGGCAATGCGCACGTAGCACGGTTTATGAGAACTATTGAAAAGTCCGTTAGAATTGCTCACTCACAAGGAAAGAATTGGAAAACGGAACTTTATCGGTTTCTCCTAGATTACCGTACAACACCACATGTTACTACAGGAATTGCACCGACAGATCTACTCTTCAACCGACAAGTACGCAACAGACTTCCAGATAGCAACGCAGTGATCCCAGAAGGAAAAAGGAGAAATCCGGAAAAAATATCATCGGCAAAGACAAGTCGTGAAGCTGTACTTCAACGCGAGAAAAGAAAAATCAAGGATCGGGCAGATATACGAAACCGAGCGAAAGAACTGCAATTCCGTGTCGGGGATTTGGTATTGTTGAAACAAAGTCAAAGAAATAAGTTATACCTACCTTGGGACCCATTACCATATCGCGTAACAAAGATAAAAGGATCTCAAATCACAGCAAAACGCCGAGGAGTGATGGTCACACGAAATTCGTCACATTTCAAGCGTGTAATTCCTTATATGCAAGAAGTAGACGATCCATATTCAAACAGTAGCGAAGAAGAAGAAGACGGAGAAGGGGCAGTCCAGCAACAACAGGATGATTCAGGAAATGAGATTGAAAGTGATTTATCAGACGAAGATACTGACAACGCAGAGCAAGACCAGCCATTAAGTCGATATCCAAGAAGAGGAAATCGAGGCATTCCACCACAATATTATGAAGAAGAAATCGGTTGAATAGGACTGTATGGGATTGAATATTTACGTTATTGAAAGGCGGTACCTGATGAGGGAGAATATTCCTTTTTATAGTATAATATTGAGAAACGTTTAAAACTTCTTAGGTTAATATAGTTCGTTGTTTATATTGGGTTTAAGTCACGTTTGGTCTATAAAGAAAAAGGGAGATGTGCTGTACGAGTCGGAAAGGGGGGACTGGAGAGGGGATTTTCAAGATGGCGGGATTGTGGACAGCTTTGTAAATAATTGCACATGTTATAGGGATGGAATAAAACAGTTGTGTTTGAGTACATTATAGGTCGGCTTCGATTTTTTTTTGAATTTATCTGGTAACTGCCCATTTATGTTTCTGGGACTAAACAAATAGCTTTGGAACAGCACATTTAGTGTAGATCTGCACGGTAGAAAATCTCTGGTCACTTCCATACGAGGAGGATCCTAGTTTTCAATGAGGAAGATCTCGCCCACACAAAACAAAATCAGTAATAAGGAATATTTACAATGAAAAATAGACTATAACACAATTACACTGGTTCTGCAGAGTGTTTTGGAAAACTGCAACTGGCGTAATTTATCACTAATTGATCCAAAGTGTGCGTGAACACAAGCCATGCTTAGATATTCCGTAATTGAACTTTGTGTGGTTTATTCTAATGTCAAATACGTCAAATATTAGAAACATAATTAATCGCACGGATATTAAAATGCTCTCTGCAATATCAACTTATGCAAATTATAGTGTTTTTGACACACCCTGTATGCATGACTTGAGTTCATTAAATAACCAGCAGGATATAATCTCAGTGTTTGGTGTATTCTTGTTCGCTAGGTTTGTGTACATTTCGTAGCGTTTATTTGGTTTATTTCTGACTTAAATCTCGCTGAATTATGGCCACGTAGTTGGATTATGCCATTATCGGTTCCAATAATTGATAAAGGTACGTTCATGTCTCTTTCTTGACGATTATAAATCATTTTTCTTCGCCATCAGCGAAGTATGCTAGACACGACACAGCGCTCTGGCGTCATGTTAAAACGTTTAGCAAAATTTTGAATAAAATCCAAAATCTTGCCCCGAAATATCCTATATTCGTCTTACTATAGTATATCATGTTGGTTTTCAATAATTAACCGATTAGCTTCAGCAAATTTGTCTTTTATAATTGTATAGTAAAAGTGAATTGCTGTTAAGGCTCTGAGATTAGGTCATAGCGTGTCATTTATGGTAATAATTGGCACCAAGATATAAATATATTTGTTTTATCAGAGGACCATATCAACCATCAAGTTTCCTGTTTATATGTCATTAGTTTTAAATCTGTTTATTCCACTGTCAATTTAACTCGTTTCCTTCCTCAGAGGCTTTCAAAACTAAGAATTTACAGTCTGTTGTCTATATCACAAGAACAAAGCTGTCTGAAAGATTTAAAACTGAAAAAGAAGAAGAGACTAGGTAAGGTGGATTAGTTTGACATAAGTTTTGAAACTGTAACATGACTAAAGCGCATCTGTGCTTTGTCAATCTGCTGACTTAAGGCCCGTTTACACTTGCGATTTTTGCTGAGATTTCATGTGCGAGTTTCTTCTTTTGATAGATGTGAACGGGTGAATTAGTTACTGAAGTTCAAAAAAGAGCTCTTATATTCAGAATATTCGTAACTAATTCCTCGTTCACATCTATCGAAAGGAGAAAATCGCACATTAAATCGCAGCAAAAATCGCCAGTGTAAACGAGCCTTTATATAGCAACTGCGGTGTGGTTATGGGCGCCAAAAATATTCTATTGGGTTATTCAGGCCAAAAATGAAATATAAGCGTAAACAGGCTTAGTTACGGCGCCAATGTCTTTTGGCCTGCCTTGAAAAAATTGAGTGTGCCGTACAAAAATATTCGTTCTATAAACGGGGCTAAGTAAATGAAGTTTCTCTGCATGGGTTCTTGCCTTGGTCCGCTGCTGATATTCTGATATTGATTAAAATTCACATAAAGGCTTTTTTGACTAATCCTGTATTCAATTGGAAACTGAACATTTATGTTTCTGGGACTAAACAAATACCTTTGGAACAGCACATTTTGTGTAGATCTGCACGGTAGAAAATCTCTGGTCACTTCCATACGAGGAAGATCCTTGTTTTCAATGAGGAAGATCTCGCCCACACAAGACAAAATCAGTAATAAGGAATATTAACAAAGAAAATTAGACAATAACACAATTAGACTGGTTCTGCAGAGTGTTTTAGAAAACTGCAACTGGCGTAATTTATCACTAATTGATCCAAAGGGTGCGTGAACACAATCCATGCTTGAATATTTCGTAATTGAACTTTGTGTCGTTACTCTAATGTCAAATACGTCAAATATTAAAAGCATAATTAGTCGCACGGATATTCAAATGCTCTCTGCAATACCAACTTATGCAAATTATAGTGTTTTTGATACACCCTGTATGCATGACTTGAGTTCATTAAATAACCAGCAGGATACCATCTCAGTGTTTGGTGTATTCTTGTTTGCTAGGTTTGTGTACATTTCTTAGCGTCTATTTGGTTTGGTTCTGACTTAAATCTCCCTGAATTTTATCGACGTAGTTGGGTTATCGGTTTCAAGAATTGATAAAGGTACGTTCTTGTCTCTTTCTTGAAGATTATAAATCATTTTACTTCGTCAACAGCGAGTATGCTAGACACGACACGGCGCTGTGGCGTCATGTTAAAACGTTTAGTAAAACCTTGAATAAAATCCAAATTCTTGCTCCTAAATATCCTTTATTCGTCTTGCTATAGCATATCATGTTGGTTGTCAATAATTAACCGATTGGCTTCAGCAAATTTGTCTTTTATAACTGTACTAAAAGTGAATTGTTGTTAAGGCTCTGTGATTAGGTCATAGCGTGTCATTTATGGTAGTAATTGGCACATTTATATTTGTTTTATCCGAGGGCCATATCAACCATCTCAACCATCGTCCTGTTTATATGTCACTAGTTTCAAATTGTCTATTCCACTGTCAAATTGACTCCTTTCCTTCCTCAGAGGCTTTTAACCAAGAATTTATAGTCTGTTTATATCATAAGAACAGCGCTGTCTGAAAGCTTTAAAAAGAAGAAGAAACTAGGTAAGGGGGATTAGTTTGACATAAGTTTTGAAACTGTAAAATGACCAAAGCGCATCTGTGCTTTGTTAATCTGCTGGCTGATATAGCAACTGCGGTGTGGTTATAAGCGCCAAAAATACTCTATTGGGTGCTTTCTAAAATTTTGTTGTATTCAGGCCAAAAAGAAAAAATGAGCGTAAACAGGCTTAGTTACGGCGCCAATTTCTTTTGACCAGCTTAAAAAAATTAAGCGTGCCGTACCAAAAATGTTTGTTCTATAAACGGGGCTAAGTAAATGGAGTTTCTCTGCATGTGTTCTTGCCTTGGTCCGCTACTGGTATTCTGATATTGATTAAACTTCAAATAAAGGCTTTTTTAGCTATTCCTGTATTTAATTGGTAACTGCACATTTATGTTTCTGGGACTACACAAATAGCTTTAAAACAACACATTTTATGTTGATCTGCACGGTAAAAAATCTCTGGTCACTTCCATACGAGGAGGATCCTTGCTTTCAATGAAAAAAATCTCGCCGACACAAGACAAAATCAGTAATAAGGAATATTAACAAAGAGAATTAGACAATCACACAATTAGACTGGTTCTGTAGAGTGTTTTAGAAAACTGAAACTGGCGTAATAATTATCACTAATTGATCCAAAGGGTGCGTGAAAGGTGATTGAACACAATCGTAATTGTATATTCCGTAATTAAACTTTGTGTGGTTAACCATTCTAATGTGAATTGCGTCAAATATCAGAAGCATAATTATTTCCATGGATATTGAAATGTTCCTTGGCCTTGCAATATCAACTTATGCAAATTATATTGTTTTTGATACACCCTGTATGCCACACACACACACCGACAAGTTCGAATGCATTACTTGAGTTCATTCAATATCCAACAGGATACTTTCAGAGTGTTTGGTGTATTCTTGTTCGCTAGGTTTGTGAACATTTCTTAGCGTCTATTTGGTTTGATTCTGACTTAAATCACGTTGAATTATTGCGACGTAGTTGGATTACGGGTTTCAAGAATTGATAAAGGTACGTTCTTGTGTCTTTCTTGAAGAATATAAATCATTTTACTTCGTCAACAGCGAAATATGCTAAACACGACACAACGCTCTAGCATCATGTTAAAACGTTTAGCAAAACCTTGAATAAAATCCAAAATCTTGCTCGTAAATATCGTTTATTCGTGTTGCTATAGCATTCCATGTTGGTTTTCAATAATTAACCGATTGGCTTCAGCAAATTTGTCTTTTACAACTGTAGTAAGAGTGAATTGTTGTTATGGCTCAGAGATTAGGTCATAGCGCGTCATTTACGGTAGTAATTGGCATATTTATATTTCTTTTTATCTGAGGACCATCTCAACCATCGTCCTGTTTATATTTCACTAGTTTCAAATTGTTTATTCCACTGTCAAATTTACTCCTTTCCTTCCTCAGAGGCTTTCAACCAAGAATTTATAGTCTGTTTATATCACAACAACAAAGCTGTCTGAAAGATTTAAAACTGAAAGAGAAGAAGAAACTAGGTAAGGTGGATTGTAAGTGTGCAATGTTGATTAATACTGCATTTCATGCTACAATAATGATAAATTAATATCACCTTCCAGTGGATGCGTTGTTTAGCTTCTGTAAAGATTTCAGTTTGTTTATATTCTATTTCTCCATGCCAGGGAATGCATTCTCAGCTGTTTGGTTCATCCTAATGCTTCATCGTTTGTCATTGTATTTCCCGAGATATTGCCCTCATAACACATTCGGTCCACGTGGTATCACTGAATACTATTTACACAAAATATCATTAGATATATGTACCCTACCTGTTTTTTTTTTAACGAAACCCATCCAGTATTAACACCCATTTGTTGCAGTAAAACTTTGTGCAATT